GTCGGGCTCATTGAAGCAGCTGAAGACGTGTAAAATCGCAGCGATTGCAAAGCATCAGGGAAGCAGGAGCGTCCAGAATCACTTGTTTGGGTTCACCTCACTTATTTTTCCATTTTTGCAGCAGAATCGTTGTTCAGCATGGAGAAATGTCACGTTACTCAGTTGCTTGGGGGATTTTTCTTCTCTTTCTGGAGGGTTCTCTGTGCATGGCAGTTTCTCTTCGTTCTCAACCAGTCTTACTCTGCTACAGCTAAACTCATAGAATCCCAGACTGGTTTGGGTTGAAGGGACATTAAAGCTCCTCCAGTTCTAGCCCCTGCCATGGGCAGGAACACCTTCCATTGGAGCAGCTTGCTCCAAGCCCCTGTGTCCAACCTGGTCTTGAACACTGCCAGGGATGGAAGTCAGGGAAAGAGAGAGATGCTGAAGAGATACTAAAATCCTCTTCCCTGTGGAGGTTTTTCCTGCCAGGAGAGCACTTAGCAGACAAAATAATGTCACTTAGTAAAGAAAATACTGTCAGAAAGCTGCTGTGGTGGCACATATCACATAGACAGTGATCTGGAGGGTCAGGGGTCTTTGTTTCTGTAGAGCAAAAGAAGTGTTACTGAGAACAGAACAAGGAGGATCTCATAGAAAAGAGTTACATCCAACATGAAGTTTAAGAAAGCTGGAGAGGGGCTTTGGCCAAGGGCCTGTAGGGCCAGGCCAAGGGGAATGGCTTGAACCTGCCTGAGGGGAGACTGAGCTGAGCTCTTAGGCAGAAGCTCTTCCCTGTGAGGGTGCTGAGGCGCTGGCACAGGGTGCCCAGAGAAGCTGTGGCTGCCCCATCCCTGGCAGTGTTCAAGGCCAGGTTGGACACAGGGGCTTGGAGCAAGCTGCTCTATGGAAGGTGTCCCTGCCCGTGGCAGGGGTTGGAGCTGGAGGAGCTTTAAGGTCCCTTCCAACCCAAACCAGTCTATGGGTTCTCTGATTTCTCTGTCCTTTTCAATCCCAAGGGTTTTGTAGTGCAACAACAATAGCAGAGTGTAGAAATGAAAGGTATAAGGGGGGGTGCTTTTTACTCAGATAAAGAGAAGTGATCCAAATGATGCAAGATACTGAAACCACCTAAATCCGAAAGAACACTAAATTTGGCCACTTGGTAGATACTTTCCAAACCTCAGTGTTACATCAGCTATGCCTACCATGCTTTCTGCAACTGATAATAGGTTTGTGGGGACCTGGCCTTTATCAGTACTGCTCAGTTATTAAAGATCTCTCTGACCATAGCAGAGGGGTTGGAACTAGATGAGCTTTAAGGTGCTTTCAACCCAAACCAGTCTGGGGTTCATAGGGCTGCTTTGAAAACCATCATTAATACATCTTTTTAAAAGCTACTTGCTGTTCTATTAGTGATCTTCTGGTTTGGGATGTCTTTCTCTTTCCTTTTCCATTGGTAGTTCCTGTTTGTGAGTATAGTGTGTGTATAGATATGTTTTTCCTCCCCCAGTGTCTGTTACAACTGGCAACATTGGAAAATTCTGTTAAATAGGAGGTCAAGTTTGATAATAGGGAACTTCAGATAGAAGCTGCAGCCTGGAAACAGGGATTAGAATCATTGAATCATAGAATAGTTAGGGTTGGAAAGGACCTTAAGATCATCCAGTTCCAACCCCCTTGCCATGGGCAGGGACACCTCACACTAAACCATGGCACCCAAGGCTCTGTCCAACCTGGCCTTGAACACTGTCAGGGATGGAGCATTCACAGCTTCCCTGGGCAACCCATTCCAGTGCCTCAGCACCCTCACAGGAAAGAATTTCCTCCTTATATCCAATCTAAACTTCCCCTGTTTCAGTTTGAACCCATCACCCCTTGTCCTGTCACTGCAGTCCCTGATGAAGAGTCCCTCCCCAGCATCCTTGCAGCCCCCTTCAGACACTGGAAGCTGCTCTGAGGTCTCCACGCAGCTTCTGCTCTCCAGAATTTTCTTCTCTTGCTCCAGGATTTGAGCACCCATGAAGCTTTGCTGCTCTTTTATGGTCCTTCCATTGAACACAACTTCATCTGTAGGTGTTGATTCCTTGGGTGAGGGATTGCCACAGTTTTATGTCCTCGCCATCCATCTGCCAGGCAGATTGGCAAACAGTTATACCCCCATCAGTGTGAAATACTCCTTTTTTTATAGCACAGCAACACAACATGTGGGGTTTGGAGTGGAGGAAGGGAAAACCAAGACATGGAGGAATCTTCACATGACTTACAATTGGGTTTATGCGACAGCCAAGCTCTTTATGATATATTTGCTCTTTCTAAGTCTTGCTTAATATGTTAATAATGAATGGAGTTGTGAAGTACATCTCTTTGACAGCTGGTGAGCAGAGGTTGCACAGTGCTTGAAGGGGTTTCCAGACATTTCTGACCTCTTCTTCCAATAAGAATTGATTAAAAGCAGTGTACTTTTAAATCAGTGGATCGGTTATTACCATTCAGGAAGTATTCATTGAACTTCCTCTTCAATTCAGTGATTTACACCTCAGAATGAAGGGGAAAGGTAAATCCAAACCTCTTGTTTGACAGCCATCAGAGAGCAGGCTGGTCTCGTAGTTCTGGTGAGCTGGGGTTTTGCATATTTAGACTAAAAGTTGGTTTAGTGTTTGCTCACCTATCACAGGTTTGAATCACAGAATGGTTTGGCTTGGAAAGGATCTTAAGATCATCCAGTTCCAACCCCCTGCCATGGGCAGGGACACCTCACACTAAACCATGGCACCCAAGGCTTTGTCCAACCTGGCCTTGAACACTGCCAGGGATGGAGCATTCACAGCTTCTCTGGGCAACCCATTCCAGTGCCTCAGCACCCTCACAGGAAAGAACTTCTTCCTTATCTCCAACCTGAACTTCCCCTGTTTCAGTCTGAACCCATCACCCCTTGTCCTGTCACTGCAGTCCCTAATGAAGAGTCCCTCTCCAGCATCCCTATAGGCCCCCTTCAGATACTGGAAGCTGCTCTGAGGTCTCCACGCAGCTTCTCTTCTCCAGGCTCAACAGCCCCAACTTTCTCAGCCTATCTTCATAAGACAGGTCCTTTCCTTTGCTTGGTACATGGAGATGCCCAGCACAGTAGGGGCGACAGGGCTTACGGTGGCTGGGGATGCCGGTGCACCCAGTATTGCTTCTCCTGAAATGGGATTTTTAGTCATGACGCTGCACCTGTCAGTGAAACTGAGAGGAAGGAGAGGTTTTATGGATTTACTCAACTTGGGCTGGGGATTTATGTTGTAATTATTGGAAGTAAAGCTATCAGTAATTACTCAGTGAAGCTCTGTCCTGTTCTGTAGAATCCTTGATTATTTGGCTTGGAAGGGACCTTTAAGCTCATCCACTTCCAAACCCCCTGCCACGGGCAGGGACCCCTTCCACTAGAGCAGCTTGCTCCAAGCCCCTGTGTCCAACCTGGCCTTGAACACTGCCAGGGATGGGGCAGCCCCAGCTTCTCTGGGCACCCTGTGCCAGTTCCTCACCAGGTGACTTTTCAATGAGTATCAAGGAAGCATGTCCTCAAACCATATGGAAATCAGGAGAGCGTTTGCATGGAGTTCTGTTCCTGGCTCTCTAGAAACATACTGCATTGAAACATCATCATCTCAAGCCTGTACAACGTGATTGATGTGCGTGGAAGGGATCGTGCTCCACTACTGTGGGTGAAGTCGGGTGTTGCCAAAGGTTAAACAACCAGTTGACTTCCCTGCCTGAGCCCAACAGTGGTGGGCTTTGTTTCGCTGGAGCAAAACAAGAAGTGTTATTGAGAACAGAACAAGGACGAGCTCACAGGAAAAAGTTACATTCAGCATCAAGCCTAAGAAAGCAAAGCTGCTGGGCTGGGCTGATGCAAAACCATCCAGTTGCCTGACACCGTGCAGAGAGAAACACAGGGACTAAAGAGCAGAATTAACATTAATAATTAAAAGTGTGCTACATTTTTCAATCTCATGGCTACTGTAACTGGGTAACTGCTTAATCCCATGAGCAAGAGAACTTCTGTAGTTCACTGATGACCGTGCAACCTTGAATGATCAAAGTTGGGCATTCCATTGTGGGCATATAAATGTCATTTCATGGCTTGTTCTTAGTTATAGATTCATAGAATCATAGAATGGTTTGGGTTGGAAAGGACCTTAAGATCATCCAGTTCCAACCCCCTGCCATGGGCTGGGACACCTTACACTAAACCAAGGCTCTGTCTGGCCTGGCCTTGAACACTGCCTGGGATGGAGCATTCACAGCTTCCCTGGGCAACCCATTCCAGTGCCTCACCACCGTCACAGGGAAGAGCTTCTTCCTTGTCTCCAACCTGACCTTCCCCTGTTTCAGTTTGAACCCATCACCCCTTGTCCTGTCACTGCAGTCCCTAATGAAGAGTCCCTCTCCAGCATCCTTGTAGCCCCCTTCAGACACTGGAAGCTGCTCTGAGGTCTCCACGCAGCTTCTCTTCTCCAGGCTCAACAGCCCCAACTTTCTCAGCCTGGCTCCATACAGGAGCTGCTCCAGCCCCTGCTCATCCTCGTGGCCTCCTCTGGACTTGTTCCAACAGCTCCATGTCCTTTTTATATTGAGGACCCCAGCACTGCACACAGTGCTGCAAGTGAGCTCTCACAAGAGCAGAGCAGAGGGGCAGGATCACCTCCTTGGACCTGTTGGTCACGCTCCTTTTGATGCAGCTCGCAGCCCAGAAAGCTGAGGTGTGCATGTTCTGTGATTCTCTGTGTGGGTCTCAGAGTCCTTCTGGTCTCAGCTATTAACCTGAAACTCCTTATTGTTTTCAAGAGGAACTAAAGGCAAACAAAGCATAAAAAGGGAGTGGAAATAGCAACCTTGCACAGTATAGTTTGCTACTAATACAGATTGACCGCTTCTTTATATGTCTTATTATCAGACATATAAAGATATAGGAGCAAAATGTCTGATTCAAGAGCAAAAATGTACTTCTGTTAACTTGTTTTTCCTTCTTTTAACAGAGCATTCAGAAGCTGGCCAGCCAATACTTGAAGAAGGACTGGCTTGGAATAAAAGCTGATGAGAGAAGTGATTACAGGTAATTTCACAGTTGGACATCTTGAAATTACTCTTTATAATTTCCATTTGTGTGATTATTTTACCTACCCGTTTAACAGTGCTCTGCTGTAGTTAAAGTCATTTCTGTTCTTTGTGGTAGAGCATTGCCAGTTAAAAATGAAGCTGTTTTCCCCTGAAGTACTGAGATTAGGCTTAAATGGATGCTTATTACTTGAATAAAAGCAGGGCTTAGAGCAAGCTGCTCTAGTGGAAGGTGTCCCTGCCCGTGGCAGGGGCTGGAACTGGAGGAGCTTTAAGCTCCCTTCCAACCCAAACCAGTCTAGAAATAATTCAGGAAGATTGGAAGAACAAAATGATACCACAGGGCAACTGTATTAGTGCACCCTGTTGGGTATTAATGCTTAAAACTGAATCTAGTGGTGGCTTAGTGCCATGGGTTAGTGGTGGCCTTGGCAGTGCTGGGGAACAGTTGGAATTGATGATCTTAAAGGTCTTTTCCAACCTGGTTGATTCTGTGATTCTCTGTATTCTAGCAAATAGCTTAAAGGTTACAGTGATAAATGTGGGGATCTCTTCATCGGAAAAGGCAGCAAGACATTCCTCTTTAGGAGACCATTCTTCATGCAGATCCCATCTGACAGCAGGGAGGAGGCAGAGCAAGAACCACTTGTTTACAAAACTTAGTTCCATTAACATGAGGGGTGGATCAGAACATGAAAGCAGAAGTGACTCAGTTGGTAAAAGCCTCCCCCCCTTTGAATGGGACCTCTTAAATCTCTTAAGATACTCCATTTTAATCTGTTCTTAATTCTGACAAGTTTTATCGCTAACAGGATGAAATTGTTGATGGAATTTGTGCTTTGGACTGTCAGTACCTTCACACCACTTGTGTGTGAGAAGCAAACTGCATTATCAGTCTGAAGTGTGTAGAAAATGCTCCCATATCACACAGACCCCTCCTACCTACAGTTTGCTCCCCACTCACAAGCCTTTCATGCCATTAGATACACCCATAATGCCCAGAGGTCTTCTTCAAGTACCTGCCACCCCCGTGCTCCTCATCACCAGGTGCTTGGGCTCTGTGGGCTCCACCAACCTTTCCCCATGTGAGCCATGGGGAGGTCTTTTCCCCCTCTCACCCTGCTCCACCCTCTTGGGCACTTCTGAGCTTTAGTGGTGAGATACCAGGGCCATGCAAAGCTCACTACACATCTATGGGTGTTATCTTGTTACACATGATGAAGGAACTACAGGTAGCCGAGATAAAATGGATGAGCAGTCTGTGAATGTTTGCTTGATGGCAAGATGCCCAAATCACAAATTCCATGATCTTATAGGGGATTGTTAAGGTGCCATCTGGCTTTGCCTGCTGGGGTGTGTAGGGTCTGTTCCACTGCAGCACCAGCTTCAACCAAAAATCATAGAATCATGGAATGGTTTGGGTTAGAAGGGACCTTAAAGCTCATCTGTTTCCAGCCCCCTGCCACGGGCAGGGACTCCGTCCACTGGAGCAGCTTGCTCCAAACCCCTGTGTCCAACCTGGCCTTGAACACTGCCAGGGATGGGGCAGCCACAGCTTCTCTGGGCACCCTCACCCTATGCTCACTGTAACCTTCCCCAGCCCTGCCCTCCCCTTTTCCCCCTTTTCTCCTTCCACTTCTTTCTTCTCCTTCACTTCCCTTCTTCCCACAACCGTTCTGTGTTTCCCTGTTTCAGGAGCATGTACTCCGTATGGAAGTCCCTTTTAGAAGGCACGATGCAGGTGGCTCAATCCCGCCTCAATATCTGTGAGAACTATAAGAACCTGATTTCAGAGCCAGCCCGGACTGTGCGGTGCTTTAAGGAGCAGCAGTTGAAGAAGGTACTTGTGCTTTAATAACTCCTTTCAACTCCTGGCATTTCCACTTGGTGATTGGGAATCTTTTCCTATGGCACTTCTGTAACCTGGACTTTCAGTCTCTTCCTGTGCATGCTGTTCCAGAAGGAAATAGCCAGTTTGTCAGAGGGGTCACAATTCAGAGCAGAGATTAAAACTGCTTGGAAATGAGTCTTCTCAAATGGGGTACACCCTGGGTCGGAGGTATCTCTGCAAATCTAACATCCTGCTGTGGCAAGGGGGTTTGTAGTGACAATTCCAAGTGGGTTTTGTTCGAATGGGTTCTGATTTTGAGGACAGGCATAGCTTAAACCTGAAGGAATGACTGGTGGAGTCATAGAACTGGAGTTATTCTGGATCTTCTAAGAGGGGCAGCCCCTCTTTCAGATATCAGTTGACTACCAAGTCTTTGCTGTATGAGCTTCCATCATGCACAACTTGATCATACAACTTGTTCCCACTTGTACAAGAAATCTACTCGGCAATAGGGAGCCTCACTTCTCCATGAATTCCTGTTTATAAAGAAAATTGCAATAGAACTGAAGTGCAGAGCAGCAGAGTTTTATCCCGTGCTTTTTAGGGGATGGTGACTAAAGGTTCTTAGGAAAGAAGTGAGCTTGTAAGCTGCTTTCCTAAGAAATCCCTTAGCTAAATGTGCCCATGGAATTGCATGACATGTCCAGTGCATCAAGAAACAGGCCAGAGCTTTCCAAAGTGCACATTAGAAGCAGAGGATGTCATACAGAGCCCAAGTGTGATGGGGAAGGGCTGAGGGACCTGGGGGGTTCAGTGTGGAGAAGAGAAGGCTCAGGGGGGACCTGATGGCTGCCTACAAGTGCTTGAGAGGAGGATGGAGCCAGGAGGGGCTGGGCTCTGCTCCCAAGGAACAAGGGATGGGACAAGAGGAACCGGCCTCAAGCTGCACCAGGGCAGGTTTAGATGGAGCTGAGGAACAATTCCTGCCCCAGAGGGTGCTCAGGCATTGGAACAGGCTGCCCAGGGCAGTCCCTGCAAGGGTTCACACCTCGTGGAGACGAGGCCTCAGTGCCATGGGGCAGTGGTGGCCTTGGCACTGATGGGTTAATGGTTGGATCAGATGAGCCACTTCCTGGGTCCACTTCTTTAAATTTATGCAAATGATAGAAATTCCTGGTTTTCCTACACTTTTAAATTAGCAGAACAAGTTATTGCAGTTATCAGGACAGTACTTGTGGTCCAAAGGATTCTAACAGCGATACAGTTTTCCTACAACATGGAAGCATTCATTTTCCTCCACAAAAAATGTAGTTTTTTATACATTGCTGTCTAAATTTCACCTTTCCTCACCCTTTCCTTTGGATTTCTGCATGGAGGTCAGATTATGCTGACCTCCATGCAGGCAACAGCTTATCAGTACTGAATTGCTGAGTCAGTAAAATACCTGTCCCATCACACTGGAATGCCCATCTGAAATCAAGTTCTTATTAAAAGCAGCATCTCCTTCCAAGGTTGCGGCAGGTATTGAGTTGATCTCGATGAGTTCCCATCTTCATTTTCCAGATGTTGCTGTAAACCTTTCCATCCTCCACTTGGTAGGATACAGAAACTTCATTTTATCACCCCTTTTAATAGTAAACTGGAACCAGTTCAGAAAACCTCATCATAACTGGCTAAAAAACATGAATGAATCACAGGGTGACTCTGGAGCAGGGTATAAATGTGTCTCCTGTGGGCCACATCCAGCCTTGTAAGCAAACTGATCCCCTGCCCTCCCAGGATACAGACAAAAGGCTGTTTAGGGGGCAGCAGCCCATCCCCTGCTGTTATCCTTTCCTAGAGACCTTGTCAGCTCACCCCATAAGTGATGTGTGATTTCAGATGTTGGCCTTGGAAGACGTTCTGTTCATCAGGTATCTCTATAAAGATGATGTAGCCACCACTGAAGACATTTGCATGGATCTCTATCAGAGGACTGAAGGCAAATAGAGTAAAACCACTGTGTGTGGAGGGAATGCAACAAGAAACCATCTCTGTCACCTCTGAAACAGCTTTTTACAGTGTCTGCACAACCCCAAACCACTGAACAGCATCCAGTCTCCTAACACCATCTTCGGAGATGCAGCAGCCAAGATGCTTTTATGCTTTTAAAACCATCATGTTAACAACCGGGGTTATTTGATACTTTAATTTCTTGATGCCAGCAGGAGACTTCAGGGATCAAAATACCAACTGATGCAGCAACCCTCCCCCCCCTCGTTTTGCAGTGATTTTAGGTCTCTGTCAGCTCTCCAACATACACAGATCTTTCCACCTTTCATTTCTCTATCCTACCCTTGGAGGTCCTCAGAAACCCCCCCACCATTCCCCAAACCACCCACCACGGGGTTACCTCATGGAGCCTGGTGCTTTATTGGTCTGCACACATCAAACACTGGGTTTAGTGTGAACCTGCATGAATTTTTATGGACTTTATAGCCAGAAAGGAGTGTGATGTTTTGAGTGAGAGCAGAATTGTGTGGTGAGGAGTGATTTCTGTTGCCTCAAACAAAAAGCTGCTTTCTTTATGGGCTGGATATTATGATTATTAACAATTGTTGAATGCTGTGAAATCAAAGTGATGATGTTGGATTACATCACCTTATTCTTCTCAAAATGCTTGTAAAAGAGGTTGCATGTATTAATAAGTACTGTAATGAAAAACCTGAGGTGTTTAGAGGGGGTGTTCAATAAGAGAGCAATGTGAAGCACCTGGACTGGAAGAATAATACAGGCACAGAATCCCAGGCTGAAGGGACCGCAAGGATCATGCAGTCCAACCTTTCCAGGCACAGCATTACCTAGATGGGATGCCCAGCACCCTGTGCAGCCCCATCTTAACAGTGTCCAACACTGGGGAGTCCCCATTTCCCTGGGGAGACTATTCCAGTGTCTGGTTGTTCTTACTGGGGAAGGTTTTCCTCTTGTGTCCATTGGGAATCTCCCAGCAGTAGCTTGTGCCCATCACCCCTCAGCTCTCCCATGGGACTCCTTGTCCAAAGGAAGTCTCCATCTTCTCTGCAGCTCCCCTTTAAGTCCTGGCACATGGATTAGGTCTCCCTGAGTCTTCCCTTCTCCAGCTGAACAGTCTCAGCTCTCTCTGCTGCCCAGCCCTTGGATTATCCTTGTGGCCCTTCTCTGGACCATCTTCAGCCCGGCCACATCTCTTGTACAGCAGGACCAAAACCGAACCCATATTCCAGGGGTGGCTTGACCAGCGCTGAGCAGAGCAGGACAGTGACATCTTTATCTCTGCTGGTGATGCCCTTGTTGATGTTCCCCAGAACCCTGTTGGGTTTCTCTGCCCCAGCCACTCACTGTTGATTCCTATGGAGGTGGTGTCCCTGAGAACCTCCAGATCCACCCAGCTGGGTATGTGATAATGGTGTGAAAAGAGGTGAGAGCTTGGGTCTGGTCTTTGAAGGACAAAAGAGGCAACTTGAAAGACAAATTGCTTTCCTTAAGCTTGCTTGAGGCTCTGCCTCTGAGTTTTGCCTGGAGCCTTCATTGACCACATCCAGTCTGTAATATCTATAATTAAATATAAATGCATTGAACTATCACTCTTACATGTACTTAAGCTCATTTGGGTACAAGAAAATCTTTACAAATCTCTTTTAAAGATAGTCTAGTTCAAGACATTGATAATTCACATTTGGTTTGTGAGCAAGGTCCTTTCTGCATACCACAGATCCCTTCTCAGATACATTGAAGCTGATAGGAGTCAGCTCAGCAATCCCTAAAGCATCCCTGGGTTATTCCTACAGTTTTGGTTCCAAATCTAACCCACAGCCCTGTACCAGCTACTGCACTCAAAGTTCACATCCTCTCAGTCAGAACCAGTACAGTGGTTTTTCTGCTATTCCTTTGATTATTCTATTGTGACATTAAATTGTGTCTTGTAACATTGCTTGGCTTGGATGGAAAAGGTTGGAGTTATTTTCCCTCCTTCACTCACCCATTCCGCATTTTAAGCCTTTAAATGAATGACACTGATTTCTGATACATCCCTATTTGTTGGAAACCCCTCAAAATAGAGAAAAATAGGCTCTTAAAACAACATTTTTCAGATTATTCTTGTTGCTCTGGTGTGTTTTATGTGGCAGCTTTTCTCTTACACTTTATACTGCAGAGAAGGAAGGATTAACCATTTTCTTTATCACCTCCGATAGCTTGCCAGTGGATTTTCCCCAGTTACATTCCACTTATTTCAACTCATTGCCTCATCCAGAGCTTTCACAAGTTGAATATTTCATTTGTGAGTTATCATTGAATTTCAGTAGTTAAAGAAGAGCACAAAGAAAGAAAGAAAGAAACATGGGGTTTATGCACTGATCAGCTTTAAAAACGACCTGAATGATTGACCAGGAGTGACTCGGAGAAAATGTAATCAAGAGCAGTAAAACCACGATGATGGCATGATTTGGATGCAAAAACCCATTAATGCTTTGTTTCCTGCCTGCTTTTTTCCAGTGTGTGGACCAGTTGACGAGGATCCAGGCTGAGTTACAGGAGACAGTCAAAGATTTAGCTAAAGGCAAGAAGAAATATTTTGAGACGGAGCAGATGGCTCAAGCCGTGCGGGAGAAAGCGGATATTGAGGCCAAGTATGTTGTTCTAATAGCATATGTATCAATAATTGCATGCATATCAAGCAAACTGGGACTTGTATTAGTTTTAGAAGGTAATTGTTTTCAATGAGCTTGGGCCAGATTGTTTGCTTTCTGCTATTTCTGGAACCATTTCATAGAATCATAGAAACCCAGGTTGGAAGGACCTCAAGGATCATCTGCTCCAACCTTTCCAGGCAAAGCATGACCTAGACTGGATGCCCAGTGCCCTGTGCAGCCCAGTCTTAACAGTGTCCAACTCTGGGAAGTCATCACTTCCCTGGAGAGATTATTCCAGTGGCTGCTTGTTCTCATTGGGAAACTTTTTACTCTTGCATTCCCAGAAGTAACTTGTGCCCATCACTCGTCATCTTTTCCATGGGACTCCTTGTAAAAGGGGAGTCTCCATCTTCTCTGTAACCACTCCTTAAATACTGGAGCATAGAATCATAGAATCCCAGACTGATTTGGGTTGGAAGAGAGTTTAAAGCTCCTCCAGTTCCAACCCCTGCCACGGGCAGGGCCACCTTCCACTAGAGCAGCTTGCTCCAAGCTCCTGTGTCCAGCCTGGCCTTGAACACTGCCAGGGATGGGGCAGCCACAGCTTCTCTGGGCACCCTGTGCCAGCGCCTCAGCACCCTCACAGGGAAGAGCTTCTGCCTTACCTCCAACCTGAACTTCCCCTGTTTGCATTTAAACTCCTTGCCCCTTGTCCTGTCGCTCCAGTCCCTGATGAAGAGTCCCTCCCCAGCATCCTTGTAGCCCCCTTCAGACACTGGAAGCTGCTCTGAGGTCTCCACGCAGCTTCTCTTCTCCAGGCTCAACAGCCCCAATGTTCTCAGCCTGGCTCCATACAGGAGTTGCTCCAGCCCCCTCATCCTCGTGGCCTCCTCTGGCCTTGCTCTTACAACTCCATGTCCTTCTGATGTTGGAGACACCAGAACTGCACACAGTGCTGCAAGTGGGGTCTCACCAGGGCAGAGCAGAGGGGCAGAATGCCCTTTATTGGTGTAGTTCAGTGTACTTTGTAGTATTTTCTTTGATCCTTAAGCCCCACTTAAATCTATGCAAATAAAACTGAAGGCTTAAGAAGTCATTTAAATTAACATTTTAAGTGAGGTGCAGTGGTTGTTTATCCTGCACATTTGTAGTGATGACATTAGTCAGTAATATCCTCTCTTCATTTCTGTTTCAGGTCCAAACTTAGTCTTTTTCAGTCAAGAATAAGCTTGCAGAAGGCAAGTGTAAAGGTGAGTAGAAGAAACAGTGGTTTTGCTGCTAATTTCACGAGGTGTGGGACCAAAGCTGTCTTGCATCTTAGATGAGTGACTGTTTGGAAGGTGTATCTTTAGAGAAGGTCATGAGAGAAGACTCTTTAAGCAGTCAGAGTGCAGAATTACCTATGTCCATAAGGACACTCTTTCTTGTGGGAGTTGTAACTGTTCTTTACAGATCCCATGTGAAATTACAACTGCATGAAGGCAAGATGCATTAGAAATCCCATAACCATTAACAAAGCTGCTAAACTACCAATCCTTTAAAGCTTTGACTATATTAATACATATATATGCATGTTAATTTACTGTTCATACACTTTTGCTCATTTAACTTCTCATTAATACCTTTTAACTTCTATTTCTTGTTGTAGTTAAAAGCACGGAGATCCGAGTGTAATTCCAAGGCAATCCATGCAAGGAATGATTATCTCCTCACGTTAGCAGCTGCTAATGCACACCAAGATCGCTATTATCAAACAGACCTAGTAAACATTATGAAGGTAAGGAAGATAATTTTTATGTATGGGAGTTGGGAAGTGTGAAACTATGGAAAACAGAATGGGTCTGGAAGTTCAAACTCCTGGGTTGCTTTGTTGAGTTTTCCAATAGGCTGGAATGGATGAATGCAGTGCAGGAGATGGATCCTGCAGTAGTGTGCAGGGTATTTGGTACCTGTTATCAAACCCAAAACTAAGCACTCAGCTCTATACTGAATTCCTGAAAACTCCCTTGGATAAAGAAATCAGGTTTGTATAACTAAGACCTGTATTTGCCTATTGTAGTTGACCTCAAGTAAGCTGGAAATGGTTTAGTTGCTCAATAACATATCCCATAATCCTTTTAAGTGTCCCCATATCTGATCAGAACATTTCTTTATGGCATGATTAATGAAAATACAACCATTGTATCTTGGTTTCAAACCATGAATTGTAGAGAATAGCAAATCAACATTGGCGGTGTCACAAAGTCAAGCCAAGATACTTGAACCCATAGGAAACTACATACTTGAAAAGCTCAAATATGATTGCTTACCCTTTCTTTTTTTAATATCATCCTAAAATTACTTAAATGCACATATCTTAAAATGAGATAGTGACAGGAAACCTGTAAAATCTACAAAATCAGCTCTTTAAAGCCAGTTCATCCTCTCTGTAGTTGCACTTCATACGTTGCCATTTGCAAAGTTGATTTCAGGTTGCTCTCTGCACACTATTTCCAGGTGATGCAATCAGACACAGCACCTTCAAAGCCTATAATTTGCATTTCAAATTGCTTTATTGAGTAACTATCAGTGTGTTTTAATAAATCCCTGTATTATCAGCATCTTTCTGCATCCTGGGGGAAAAAAATGGTGATAGAAAAAGCAGGTAACCGAAGGAGAAAACGAGAGCACCAAAAAGGAGCTTCCAAGGGACTTTTATATGTAATTCCATTATATCTTGACTAATTTAAGCAATGCCACCTAGAGTAAATCCTAGCCTGTGGTACAAATTCATTTATCAGCCTACTACGTGACTTCTCAGAAGGCTTAACCAGATCTGGGTATCACAGAGGCAATGCAGGGCTGGTAGTTCTTGAAGCATCATCCTGTCTTTGCTCTGTGTGTGTATGTGGTTGTGCTTTTCTCTTAGTAAACCACGAATATTTGTGCTGACTAAATGTTTAGTGCATGAAAATGGTTATAAAGTATTTCCTTCTCATAGTCAAGGTGAAGTTACTCATTGATGCCTACAGAATTCCAGCCTTAGGTGCATGGTTTGTTGTCATCCTCTAATGCTCTTATTTGGATGTAATGCCAGAAGTGAATTTAAGATTTTCACAACAAAACAAGCAAAAAGGACATTTGACATAATCAAAAGGTGAGGAGATAGCCTGGGTAAAGTCCTGCCAGGCTCTGGTGGGTTGTGGGTGCTCTCATCCCAGGGCATTCCAAGATAATCCCTGCAAAGGCATTCCTGTTTCCTCTATGTCTGGCTACATTTTGTATGCACTACAAACCGAGTGTGTGGTAAACTAGGTGGGATCTTCATCTCTTTTGAGTTTCCATAAACACTTCTGTCTTTTGGATGGTGTGAGCCTTCTGTAGTGTGACATTAGAAACCTGCAGATACCGCAGGAACGTGGGGTTTTAATAAGCTGCTATAAAACCACAAACTAAAAATGATTTCATTGTTTCTGAAAGACTGAGAAGTGCAGTCATGGAAAACCAATGGAAGAAGTCATGCTGGTGCCATTCACCTGTGTATGTGCTGTTGTCCGTGTTCTATGTGCACAGGGTCCAGTTCCTGAAGTCAGTGCTGATCTGTGGTGGTTTCTTTACCCAGTTACTGCTTTCCCTCTTATCCAGTCCTTGAAGGGACTTCTTTTGAAGCTTTATTCAAACTGAACCTTTCTTTATTTCCTAAGGAAGCCAACCTGGTCTTCTGTATAAATAATTGTGGTTTACTGAAAAGCAAAGGTGCAAGTGCTTTTGGTGACCCATATTACTTTAGAAGGATCACCTTCAGGGGTCTTTTTCTACATCTCTCAGACATTTCTAGTGTCATGTCCTGTGGAACTGGGCTCCAGCTGCATTCAGCCAAGAGCTTTAATGTAAATTCAAATGTAAACTGCTTGAATGTAAACAGCAGTGTGTAATCTGGTGCTAAAACCCACCTCAGTGTGGCCCAGCCCTTGAAAAGGGCTTCAGGAGGGGCCCTGGCTATTAGAGATGAAGAAACCCTATATCCCTATGAGGCTGATAAGACAAGTGCAGTGATGAATGGAGGCAATTCACACATAGACAGATATGATGTGGTGGGAATAATCAACATCATTTTCTTTCTAAGAGGGAAAATGTCCTTCAAAAAGAGGGGATAAGGGTGATTCATCTGCTTTAATGTCTTGAATGTGCTGGGAGGCCTCAACAAACTTCCCACTCAGTCTCTGCTTATGTAAAAGGACATTGCAGTGGGGTGGTGAGGGTTTTCTCCTAGGTTAATAACTGATGAAGAGATACAGAAGATGTGGGATTAAAGTAAATACTTGAGCTTTATCAGGGAAGGAGAATTGCTGGCAAGGTCCTGGTTTCTCTCTTACCTATCTTCTCATCCTGAAGTGTGGGAACCACGCTTCTTAAAGCACTGAGAGAGTGATTATGTTATTTACCATAATGATTTAACATAAAGAGTATGGAGAAGGAACTGGAGAGGTGATGATTTGAAGATGGTGAAGAAACACAATCATAGAGTGGTTTGTGTTGGAAGAGACCTTGAAGCTCCTCCAGCTCCAACCCCTGCCACGAGCAGGGACCCCTTCCACTAGAGCAGCTTGCTCCAAGCCCCTGTGTCCAACCTGCCCTTGAACACTGCCAGGGATGGGGCAGCCACAGCTTCTCTGGGCACCCTGTGCCAGCGCCTCAGCACCCTCACAGGGAAGAGCTTCTGCCTAAGAGCTCATCTCAGTCTCCCCTCTGGCAGGTTCAAGCCATTCCCCTTGGCCTGGCCCTACAGGCCCTTGTCCCAAGCCCCTCTCCAGCTTTCCTGCAGCCCCTTCAGGCACTGGAGCTGCTCTCAGGTCTCCCCTTCAGGAGCCTTCTCTTCTCCAGGCTCACCCAGCCCAGCTCTCTCAGCCTGGCTCCAGAGCAGAGCTGCTCCAGCCCTCGCAGCATCTCCATGGCCTCCTCTGGCCTCGCTCCAACAGCTCCACGTCCCTCTTGTGCTGCTGCCCCAGAGCTGGATCAGGGCTGCAGGGGGGGTCTCCCCTTCACAGAGCAGAGGGGCAGGATCCCCTCCCTGAGCTGCTGCTCACACTCTGGGGGTGCAGCCCAGCACAAAGGGGGGTTCTGGGTTCAAGCCTGTGCTGCCCAGTCATTCAGTGTCATTCTCTATAACCAAATATAAAGCTTATGAGCAAGAGATACAGGGATGTCTCAACGAGTGTTGACCAGGCAAAAAAATAGCACATGAAATTAATGTTAGAAGGAGAAAAGCAGTCAGCTGGGGAGGAGATTGCTGCCTGCAGAATAAAGACCACTGAATAGCCATTACCATTATGAAGGAGTTAATAGAACTGGAAAATGGACCAAAGGATAAGGAAATGGAGACTTTGTCTCTTAAATGTTTCTAATCCTCCCTCTAGGCAACATCACTGGGAAGGAGGTATTTTGGAAGGGGATTAAACCTGTTCTGGGCAGCACAGTTCTTGTTTTAGTACCTTGAGTGGTGGTGACCTCATACATGCTGTAATCCAGTTGTATCCAAACGAAACGTGTTCCTTTATGTATTGTGATTAACAGTCTAAAAATGCACCTTTTATCTTCCTATTAGTAAGCCCTCAGGTATTCTTGTGACAGCGGCCACCTTGCTATCTCTAAGTATTTCTCCATTTAGCTGCAGTGGAGCTGACACCCCTTCTTCTGTTGGACCTCTGCAGGCCTCTCCACACCTTTACTTCATATCAAGTACTTCCATAAACTCCTCACATTTCGTCTCTCTTCCAGCCCCTTTGGAGATGTTGCCTTATTGCAGATGCTCAACAGCTTCTCTTGGTTCTCTTTGAGTGAGGCTCTCAGACAGAGCTAAGCATTCCTGAAACATTCCCTTCTCATACCAGCTGCCCCACGTAAAGCAGACTGGAAGACTGACTTAACCATGCCAAGTGCAAGGTCCTGCACCTGGGTGGGAGCAATCCCAGGCACAGCTACAGGTTGGGCAGAGAAGAGATTCAGAGCAGCCCTGTGGAGAGGGACTTGGGGGTGTTGGTTGATGAGAAAATGAACATGAGCCGGCTTCAGTGTGCGCTCGCAGCCCAGAAAGCAACCGTATCCTGGGCTGCATCAAAAGGAGCGTGACCAGCAGGGCGAAGGAGGTGATCCTGCCCCTCTGCTCTGCTCTTGTGAGACCTCACCTGGAGCATTGTGTGCAGTTCTGGTGTCCTCAACATAAAAAGGACATGGAGCTGTTGGAACAAGTCCAGAGGAGGCCACGAGGATGCTCAGGGGCTGGAGCAGCTCCTGTATGGAGCCAGGCTGAGAACATTGGGGCTGTTGAGCCTGGAGAAGAGAAGCTGTGTGGAGACCTCAGAGCAGCTTCCAGTGTCTGAAGGGGGCTGCAGGGATGCTGGGGAGGGACTCTTCATCAGGGACTGCAGTGACAGGACAAGGGGTGATGGGTTCAAACTGAAACAGGGGAAGTTTAGATTGGATCTAAGGAAGAAGTTCTTTACTGTGAGGGTGCTGAGGCCCTGGAATGGGTTGCCCAAGGAAGCTGTGAATGCTCCATCCCTGGCAGTGTTCAAGGCCAGGTTGGACAGAGCCTTGGGTGCCATGGTTTAGTGTGAGGTGTCCCTGCCCATGGCAGGGGGGGTTGGAACTGGATGATCTTAAGGTCCTTTCCAACCCAAGCTATTCTATGATTCTGTGACTTCTGTTTGGAGCAGGTTGGGGTTGCTGAGTGGAATCAGCAGCATCTCAGACATCATAAGCCTTAGTTATTTGGTGTCTGCTCTTCCAGGATGAGTT